AAGTGGAACTATGTAGAACAACTTCTTTTAATAAATGGTGCCTTTGGAATGTTGGTTGATTGGTTGGTTGATTTTCTGATTCTTTGATACTGGTTTGTTTCTTGGGGTTTTTAATTTCAATTGCCTCTTCTCCTTCTTCTTTTTTTTTTTTTTTCATGACGAAACTTTCAAAGGATACCTTCTCCATTGTGTGTCACTCTTCTCTACAAGACTAACAACTTCTGAACTAGAATTCTTTTAGAGCCCCTTCATTTCAACTACCCAGAAACCAGTGCTGTTGTATCCACCAGGTCTTATATCCATTCTTTTTTCTTCTAGGGAGATCACAGTTGATACTGTGTTTTGCAGTGACTCTTTACTTGGGTAAGGCCTCCAGGAGTTGGCTTTGATGGTTTGATTAATTTTCTTACTTATGTGTAAAATAAAGTTTGTAGTGGTCTCTGTTTCCTAACTCTGCTATGGTATGGGCTATAGGTAATTTTATTTGCCTTGCTTGTTGATCTGAAAGCTTTTGTACGATGGCTGAAGAGATTCCGATTTAGGTGACTACCATTATCTTACAGGAACTAGGAAGTCATACTCTGATCACTTTAACAGATATTTTAGTGCCTCTTTCACATAAGCTCCAAGTTAAATACTAAGGCCAAAAATATCAATACTCCCAAAGTAATGCTTGTATTTGTGTAACATTTTTTTTTTAATTGGGGAGTTGGGGGAGGGAAACAGTGTTGGGGAATCGGGGAAGGGGAACAGACAAGTTGCTGTCCTTTTGTTCTTCAGTCTCGTTGTGGAGGACGTTACTTCACTGGCCCATGTTGATACCATCATTGTGTTCTTCCCGGGTGAGGCAGATCGGCCACCAGCCTCTGGACGGCCACTCATGGCGGCTCTAGGCAGCTCACACTGGCTGCCGGCTGCTCACGCTGGCTGATGGCCACACACGGTAGCTTGTGGCAGCCCACTGCAGCAGGGGCTGCAACCTACGCCGTTGCCAGCGACTCAACGGCAGCCCAGCTCCAGGTCGAGCCGTTGTTCACCATCTTAGCTGTAGAGGGCAGTGTCAGTGGCCCTCATGTGGGATTCAAACTGGGGCCTTGCTGCACAGAGCTGGCGTCCCAAGCCAGCTATTAACCAATGCGCCACTCGGCTGGCCCTTGTGTAACATTTTAACCCTCCGTCAGATTCTCACAGATTCATTGCACACAAAGATGCCACTATGAAATACGTCTTTATTGTACTAAGTCACAAACATGATTGGCGATAGGTTATGGTAGAGGAGGAAGATACGGAAGCGATGAGTCATGATACTTAAGTTAACCGTTAGATACTTGAAAATTTGTGTGCAATGAATCTGTGAGATCAGTTGTGCCCATCAGAGGGTTAAAGAACGACTGAATACATATAAAATATTGTTTCATTCAGTAGATATGAGGATGCTGAGGCTAAGAGGTTAACAGCAACTCTTCAACATATCTAGTTATTGATGGGTAAGATTCAACCCTAAGACTTTAGTATAAATCTACTAAATCTAGTGTCTGCTCCATCAAAATGACCATATCCTATTTTATTTCATATAATATTTACTAAACATTTATTGAGCTCCTTAGAATGTACTGAGCTATATAGCAGGCACTGGTGATTCAGCAGTGAACAAAACAAAGCCCTAAGCTTACAGAGCTTACATTTTAGCGATGATATTCTCCCCTTACTCCAACCTGCCAACCTGTCTCTTGTCTTAACTTCTGAAATACTTTATTTGGCTTTGTAAAAACAGTGCTAGTCAAAGTCACTTATATAACCTAATTATATGTGTCATTTAAAATAATTTTGATTTTAATAATGCCATAATAATTAGTTTCTTATACTCCAGTTGCCTAGTTTATTTCCTATATACTATAACTTAAAAAAAAAGAAAAAAGTGTAAGTTGCAGGTGAAAATTGTATACTGGTATTTCTACAATAAAACATGGTATATATTAATGACAGACATTCCTGATTTTATTTTTTAAACTTTATATAATTTAGTGTCTGTTGAAAAGCATTTATATCAAGATTTGAAATAGAAAACTGAATTTAAGATACTTATGAAAGTATTAATTTTATACCACATAGTTTTAGAATGGTTTAAAATTCCATGTTAAGCATTTCTGAGCGTTACAGTTTTCACTGATTTGCATTAGAGGTGAAGGATTTTATAACCTGCTTTCAAATAATAGAATTCCATTTAGAATTCTTTTAGTACTTCATTAAGAAAATATAAAATACTTTCATCATTGTGCTGTTTCTCATCATAGTGTGTTCATTTTGGCAAAGAAATGCTATTTTACATTCCCATATGGAACAATATAAAATAGGGTAATCTGTATTTACTCAGTCAGTTTTAATACAGATTTTTGAGCAACATGGTGGCTGATTGGCACCCTCTGTTGGACATTTTATTTACCTACAGGCAGTAATATAAGTAATAAAGTTAAGTTTGTCTTTTATATTTTTATCTGTTTTTTTTTTTTAATTATTTACAGGCCTCACCAAAATAATACTCCAACCTGGGTTCATAAGAATAAGATAACACTATTGTTTAGCTGTGCTTTTGTTTGGATAATTTTCTGGTTATTTGTTTTTTCCTCAGGCTGGCTCTCTAATTGTAACATTTAGAATTGGCATTAACATTGCAAATTTTCAAACAAGTATTTATTTAACTGTAGCAAACTATTAGCTACAGTAGCACATTATTAAGCAGATAATGTTTAACAATTTTATTGTCAATTTGGATTAATTAGGAAACATCACATTTTAGCACCCTAAATAACAGTTTGAGGAGTTATTTGAATTGAAAATAATTTAAGCTCCAGAAAAATGAGGCTAAATTACTTCATTTCATCTCTCACTGTTTTAAAGACAAACTTAATTATTCTGTAAGATTATATGGCTAATTGAATTTATATTATCGTTTAATAATATTTATATATAATAAGTTTGTTGACTGGTCCTGGAAATGCCTATGCAATTTGTAATTACAGGGAAGAAAGCTATACTCTGCAAGGTGATTGAATAGTAGGGAGGGGAACATTTTTTTCTTTTTGGTAAATATTCAGCAAGTTTGCTTTTGGTGATTCTGGTATTTTAGAATATCACTTGCCTGCCAAAGCCTCAAGTTTAATCCAATTTAGTAATACCTAATGGATCTCAACTTTAGCATAATCTATGACCTACTCCATAATACTCAAGTTACTTACCATATTAGAGTTTTCTTGTATTTTTTCACTGAAATAAGTATTTTAAAAATTTATATTATACATTGCTCATATAGAAGGTGTTTTCAGAAATATGACTTACAAATGCCAACCAACTGCATTTATATTGTATTTCTTGTTCCAATTTGTGGAAATTGAGATTTGTGTTTGATTTCTAGTGGGCCTGTCAATATATTATTTTCACCAAAATGTAGCAGACTATTCAATAGACTTTTTCACTCTATAATGAACTAATAAGCAAGCAAATGTTCTCCAACATGACAAAGTAAAAAGTATAAAATGTGTGATTCAATGAAACATTGTGAAGTAATCAATGAGCACCTTTATTTTTCACAGAGTCAATTCTATATTTTAACTTAAATACCAGTGTGACCATAAAGTACAATAATTAGATAGGATTCTGAGAACTTGTGTCTTTAAGTCTACTACATTACTCTAGTTATACCTAGTATGCGGGTCTGTAAATACTATATTATGTTCAATATAAGCTTACCAACTTAAGTACATTAATAAATTATTTTAGTTTATTTGGAATATATTTCACCTATAATACTTATGTGCTTAATCCAGTAAGAGGGTCCAAAGAGAAGTTGGCTGATATATTTTATTTTCAAATTTGGACACATGATACTGAATAGATGCAGTCTTTTTAACAAGCCTACTGAAATGCAATGAGGTGGTGGTATACTCTTCTGAAAATCAGTTAGATACACTTCAAACTCCCACTCCGTCCTTCTCTAAAAGCCCTCTTAGAAATCAAACAGTATTCAGATGAAAAGTTTCTATCTTACCATGTATTTAAGTACCTAATTAAATTAGCCAGCAGTTAATTAGCTAACTAATTTAAATAAAGACCAAAAAAGATGCAAAGAATACTCTTGGAAATATTCCCATAGAAATGGAATGCTAACCTTTAAATGCAGGATATTAGTAAATCGGATATTGGAGAAATACTCAAGGTTGGGATTGATTTGGTCTATTAGGAGATGACTATTTTGAAAGGTTTTTTGTTTGTTTGTTTTAATGGTAATGGTATATTCTAAAGTCAGATCTGGAAGTGTCTTATATCTCAAGAATACACTTTGAGACTTTTTTCTATTGTCATAATATTTCCCTCTCCACATTTTATTCTTTCCTCAGAGCTATTCCCTTCCTTTTCCATCTTAGTTAATTAATTTATTGTTTTAGTACATGCTTAGTTTTTTTTTTAATATCAAGGAAACTAAATATATTACTGTGTATAAATATAGAATAGAGAGTAATTTTTCTGATATTTGTTATACTTTATAAGGATAAGGTACTCCTGGGCAACAAGTTCATGATTGGGATATTCATTAACTTTTTCAGGCAACTATAATCTGGTAAGCTAGAAATGTAATTTATGAAATGGTTATCCAAGGTATTACACTTCTTGGGAGTTGGACAAATATTATACATCTTGTTTATAAAATGTAAATAATCACAAAAGGTTTTCACTGTGGAATCAGCCAGTATATAATCATCAGGGAATGTAAAGCTTATATGAAAAAAAATCAAAGAGAGTAGTTCCATATATTTCTCTTAAAGCAGCTAGCTGTTGACTGAACATCTTAAAGTTTGAGTCAGGTTGCTTATATTAAGTGGAAGTCATTATTATTCATGGATATATGTTTGCTTTTAATATTTAGACATTTGTGAAAGATTGCTAAAACAATTGCTTATTAGAAAAGATACTTTTTTTTTCATTAGGCTTTTTCCTTTTGACAGTGATGTGAATTTTGAAAGTAAAGAACGAACCGCATGTAAAGGAAAGATTGCCTTATCAGGTATGCTACAGATGGATTGTTTTTGTACTGCTGAATAAATTCTATAAAGTAAGTTTCTAGAGTTGGTGGGTTTTTAATTCCCTACGTCCATTCTCTTCCTTCATTTTATTTTGCATACCTCTATCATCATATTTGTTCTAAAACACTGTTTTCATCATTATGCACTACATATGCATTGAATTTTACAAATCGTTAGAAAAAGCTGTTTCATATAGTACATATATTATTGCAGTTTTGTCCTCAGTGCAGCTTTGTGAAATATGTAGAGTAGTTCTCTTTTTCTACAGACTCAGAGGTTAAATGACTTCCTGTAAGTGGTTGAGCTGGGCTGCAAACTCAAGTCTTTTGACTCTCCATTCCTTTTCTGCTCAGAAGTTTCAATAATGTTTTTAGTGTTTGCTAGGCTAGAAGTTCCATGAGGGTTGGAACTATATTTGTTTTGTTCATCGCTATATACCCAGCAGCTCACACAGTGCTTGCACATAGTAATTGCTCAGTGAGTATTGATTGAATGGATGACTGTTCTTCATTGCCCATAGGATACAGACCAAATTTTTCACCTCCGAGTTTTCTATTCTGACCCAGCTATTTTTCTAGCCATATCTTCCATTACTCCTATACATGAGCTGCCTGGTTTAGCCAGACATTTGTCTCCCTGTTCCATCTGCACACCCCATGCTTCTGACACCCAGTTAGCTCTTGAAATAATTGTATTGTCTTCGGGATCTGTTTGCTCATCTGTAAAGCCTTCCCTGTTACCATTCCAGCTGGAAAGGAAGTTTCCCTTCTCTGAATTCCTAATGCATTTAGGATACCCTTTACCACTAGATGGCACTTATGCTGTGTTGTCTCAGTTTCTCCAAAGTGTTAAGGAAGCCAAAGACAATGGCCTGGAGATGCTACAGATCGAAGTGAATACATGGCTGACTTGTGTGTATGCTAGTTAGATAATGCACCTTTACAAATACCTCATCAGCACGCTTTGGAAACAACACACCTCCATCAATCCTTAAGTAATAACTAGATTGTTTCATTGGCCAAACGCTGTGTTTTCTTATCTCCAGGGACCCTGCGCTGTATTTCAGGCCCTCTCACCCAAGGAACTGTTTTTCAGAAATGTCTTTATGTATAAACAAAAATTCTCATACAGGAAGTCTAGACCTGAATTTCTCATAGGATGTAATTGCCCTAAATCAGAGGAATCCCCCTCATCCAAAACATTTGTCAGAAAAATAACTGAACTGTATAAAAATCGGTTGCTTGTTTTATAGTTATATTCATGTTTTCATCTTTCCAGTTATAAGACTGGAATAAAACACGTTTTGTACTTCCTTGTAGCCTTTCAACGTGAAACAGTACTTTTACATAAGTAGTTCTTTAGTAGATTTTAACATGATAGATAAAATATTATAGATCTGTAGAGGGGATTTTCTAAAAATACTTAAACATAATCCTTCATTCCTTGCCTCCAATGTAGTGCCACTTAGTACGCAAATGACATAATGTTAAATTGCTATTAAAGAATCAAGTGACGTGTTGGAGTTAACATCTATTGTCATTTCATAATAAATAGTTTATTGACTGCAGCAACTCATGAAATTAGCATTAACTACATTTAGAAGAGTGCTTAAGTAAAAGCATTTAAAGAGAAAAAACTATTTTCCTGAACACAAACACTCAAGTATAGAAATTAAACTTATTTCTGCATATGTTCCTTCTTTCCAAGAGATAATTTTAAATTAAATTAAGGAACTGAAAGTCTCAGAAAATGGGATACATATGTAATTTCATTTCATCTTTGCTTAGACTTAATTATATCTCATCCGTTTATTTGTAAAACATAAAAGCAAAGAAAATTAAAAACTAATTCACCTTTATAGATCTATTTTCTTTTGATATTGGGATGAAAATGTGACTTTTGTTTTGATCAAAATGGATATTTGCAACAAAGTTTGATAACATTTCTGAGATTATATTGATTTTTAGGAGATACCTGGGTTTTTCATTTCCAGCTTCACCATTCACTGGCCAAATCTTTATCAAAGTAAAAAGAATAACTGAGGTTTATCCTGATCATTTCTGCTAAACATCAAATAACTACACTGTGGTAATTGTCTGAGCTTTCTCACTAATTGTTAATTCAGTGACTAAAGCCAAGTCAGTTCACAAAGTGCCTCTTTTTTTCACTTTTCAAAATTATGATAGACATCTAGGCCCTGATAGCATCAAGTTAGCCATCCTATTAAGACTCTTTCGGTTTACCATTAAAATGGCAATGAAGACACAAAAAAAGACAAAGGTAAGGGCACTGTAAACTAAGCCTGCGTCAGCCATTTGCAAGAGCCAGGTAGGAATTTTTACTGTTTGAAGCTGAATTAAGAAACAGTTGGTGGCTTACACATCCTTTGCCATCTGACAGTACATGACCATCTGGGAAATAGATAAGAAGTGTCTACCTTCTCCTCTTGAGGCTCTGACACAGTTGGGCATGGGAAAGGGCAAGACCGACCCACAGGTTGTGGGTATACGGTAAAGGAAGTCGGGTTCCATGCTCCTCCCAAAACAGTGTAAAGAGTTAATACCACCCTAATAGAACAAGAACAGCTGTGAACAAGAACAGTTGTGAAATGAAATGAGTCAGCAACTGTGGTCAAGCAAGAAGCAGGCTGTTTGACAGGACATCAGCCAAGTCACAATTGTAAAACAATAAAGGCAATCCCATTAAAATCAAGAACAAAATAACAATGTCTATTGTATCAATATAATTTAACACAGTTTTAGAAATCTCGAGCTAAAATAGTAAGAATGAAAGATGAAACTACTGAAAACAAATAGACAAGTTAAAAACTATTTGAAGATAATAGATAGCAGACCTAGAAAACCTAAGGAAATTTACTGACACACTATTTGAATTAATAAAGAATTCAGTAAAAATAGCTAGATTCAAGATAAATATACAAAAAGTGGTAGCTGCTGTCAAAACCAGCAGTAACTAGTTAGGAAATATGATGGCAAAAAAGATCTCCTTTACAATTAAAACAATAGAAAACAAAAACATTAACAACCCCCAAGAATAACCTTAATAAAAATGTAAGGGTAACTGTATCAAGATACTCCGGGTAAAGACGATATTATAATAATATCAGTTCCCAAATTAATTTTGACAATAGAATTACAATGAAACATTTTGAAGGGGGAATTTTGATAAAATATTAAAAAATTCACATAAATTAGCAAGTAAGAAAAGATGTTTTGGGAACGCTTTCTAACAGATACTATATTATAAAGGTTCAATGTGTATAATAGTATGGTATTGATATTAGGATAGACAGTCATTAATACATGATTCAATTAGATCATAAAGTATATAGCCAAGGAACAGACACTTAGAATGCTATATATGGTAAAGATGGCATCATTAAATCAGTAAGGAAAAAGATGTCCTATTAGATATGAATGGAGTTGGAACTTGTCTATTAACTTGTCTACTATTTTTATAAGAAGAATAATTATTTTTAAATTTTACCTCACATACCCAAATTCTCACATAGATTAAATATTAACTTTTAAAAGTACAAATCATAAGTAATACGTTGAGAGAGAGAGAAAGAGAGAGAGAGAGAATGGGCCACAGATACAGATTCACGGAACTGGCCAATAAAATGTACAAATATTTTTGTTGTTAAGAAAATGCAAATCTAAACAATTAAATCCTGTCACTTGACTATTAAATTGGTAAAGTTTTAAAATTATTGTTTGATGAATTGTATGTGAAGTGTTTAGCTTGGCATATGGAGAAAGCTCAATAAGTAATATTTTTATCAAAACTGCTAAGGCATCAGTGGGCAGGGTACTCATACATACCTGCCTCGTTGGGTAGGGTAGGGATGAAGGAGTGATATAAAGCTTTTCTAGAAAGGAAATTGGAAATAGTCATTAAAAACCTTAAAAATACACTTCTAAACAAACAAAGATGTAGACAGAGGATTATGGGATCTAAAAGTGAAGCACAACCTAAATGTAGCCAAACAGCTTATTTTCATAAAGATTTGTAATTATTTAAAGTGGCATAATAAGTATGAAAAATATGCACATAAACTTCCGTGGTATAACAGGTCTTAACTAGAAACATTTTCCACAAAGGCTTGGGGTATTTATACAGTTTTTGTACTCTGAGTAATTAAAACTAACTTCACTTTACCATTGAAATCTCTACTGTGCTATATTACCGTATTTCCCCATGTATAAGACGCACCCCTTTTTCCAAAAATTTGGGGTCTAAAAACTGGGTGCGTCTTATACAGTGGTTGTAGGTGGTTGTCAAGTCATTTAAGAAGTGTGGCATTTCACATGCCATAGATGGAACTGAGGACAAGGCAATATACAGACACAGATGAGGACAAGCTAATGGTTGGGAGTTTTGACAGTGATGAGGAGTTGTGTGAATTTTATGATGAATAAAACTTGAGTTCAATAACTTTATGTAGTAAATTTTTTTTCAAATTTTGGGCCCCAAAATTAAGGTGCATCTTATACATGGGAGCGTCTTATACATGGGGAAATACGGTATGCTGTAGTTGGCACGTCTATTAGGTAGAACCTTGATCCTCTAATTTTGAAAATATCTAAATAGCATGGGAATGTCAGGGAAATTGTTACTACTATTAATCTTAGTTTTAGAAGGAAAGGGAAGAGTGGAGGAAATTAGGAAGAAAAAAATTTGTGTCAAAGCTCTAGATTACGTAACTTCTGGAATAAAGATTATTAAACACAATTACTTTAGAGTTTGAAAGAATGTGTAAATGACAGAAAATATGTTTAGGTCACTTTTAGAACATATGCCCTTTTCTTGGACTGAAAGAAGTAATGCATTCTTCTTTTTAGCTTTATTTCTTAAGGGAAATGCTAGTTTGTAACATGAATATACAAAGATGTGCCAATTCTTTTGTAGACAAGTTAAATCTTAATGGAAAGAGTTTGGGTCTGTTTGTCAAGAGCTGGGTCTCTCCCAGAAACCAATGATCTTAGACAAGTCACTTATTTTCTTCATCTTTAAAATTTGTCTAGTGGATGAAAGTTCTAAAGCGCTTTCTGCCTCTACTGTTCTGTGATTTTGAAATGTATCTAACTGTTTTTGCTGCTACGACTTACCCAAAATAGAAATTCAACACTGGGTTCCCTGTAATTCACCTATTTAAAAAACAAATCACACAATGAAAATATTATGGCATAAGCTTATTACAGATCTCACTTAATAAGTTAATTTCTTGAATAATGGTTGGTACTTTTTTGAAGTAATTTATTTAAATAAACATAACGGATATTATATTTCTAGTCTAAGCAATTTTTTTTTACAGAAAATATCACCTGTGTTACAATATTTAAATAATATGGCTTTAATGGTCATACTCCGTTATGGAAGTCAGAGGTTCATTTCACTCTAAGAAATGCAAGTTACCAAAATTATTACTTGTCATTTCTATTTCCCCCTCTTTATAGATATTCGAATACCACTAATGTGGAAAGACTCTGATCACTTCAGCAATAAAGAAGGTATGTATGATTTTAACTTGTAATTGAAATGTTTTCTTTAGTGTATAGTAAATTTGTGAGTATTGGGAGAAAAAGCTGCTTCCGTACTGAAAAAAATTTATGTCATTTGACAATAAGCAAAATCTCACTGAACTGTTTTTTTTTCTGATTTTTAGTATAAATATGTTGTAATTGCTTAATACTAATTAAGGTAATGCATATGTAATGTACTTTTAGTTGTAGAAACTTCTGTAAGGACAGTCTGTAAGGAGTTATAAGGGAAAGTGTGAAACAAAACAAAATGTTTAAGGAGTAAAGGTAAAGACATTTATTATATTTGACCAGAATCTAGATCTTTTCTGCCTTGTTTTGTTACTTCAGATTATTTAACAGGATGTAAGAGAGAGAGATTTTTAGCTTGATCTGACTTTCTTTTCCCCCTTCAGCATTTTATGGCTTTATATAGTCTTCAAAAATCCATGTAATGCTTAGGTCATGGAAATTAACCTCAAATGATTTCTAGCTGTTAAGAGGCAAAGCAGTAAAGATATGATAATCCTTTATATTTCTTGTCAATTGTGATAGCTTTGTTACTCATAGTTAAAAAACTGAATCATATTGAGCATAATTAGTTTTATATGAAGAACCCAAAATCAGGTTAGTATATGTGTTATTCAATTAGGAAATATAATTTACTTTACAAAGAATACATGTGGGAATTAAGTGCATCTTTCTTTTTACTATAGAGAATAAGTTTTTCTGAAAAGCTACATTTTCTCAATCATGAGGATTTAGCCCTTTAATCACCTGATACTTTTTTTAAAAACATCACCATATTAAAAGGCCCAGCAGCTATGTTTTTTGTATCCTCATGTCTACTTTTTATTGTTTTTGTGGTTTCCTCCTTTGCTTTTAGTTTGGTGGAAAATGTTTTGCTGTTGTTGACGTGCCTGCTCTTAACCTCTTGTAATAGAAAACGTTTTTTTCTTAAATAGACTTGGAAACCAAAATGACAAAGGTATTAGCATATATATAATAATAAATTTGCTATGAATTAAAGCTTAAAAGAGTTTTCTAGGGATAAAATGTATGAGTTTGGTGGTTATTTTAGGCTGCGGAGAGGCCTATTTTTAACTCTATTTTTTGCTTTCTCCTGGTTTAATTGTTGTAGTTGGGTAAGGTATTAATATATACTGACAGAACAGTCACTATAAAAAGTAAAAGATTACAATGTACAATATATGAAAATAAGAATCTATTAAATATTTAAGCTAAGTTTTTAAATTTTCAAATACATTTTACCATAATATAGGCATGATTTATCACGTGGATCATGGCTTAAAATGATTTTTTTTTTTCCTCTAGGATCACAGCGCTATGCCATGTTTTGCTTATTCAGAATGGGAGCTGAACTTTTTGACACTGACATGGTGATTGTGGATAAAACAATCACAGATATATGTTTTGAAAATGTAACCATATTGTAAGTATTTTTTAATCTTGAGAGAACGAAAATAATCTTTAATTCTTCCTTTTTTAAAGGAGGTTATAATTGTTGGGTCTTTGGATTATTTTTGAAGCATTAAGAGCTTTAAATGTTTAAATGGATTTTTTACAAAACTTATTCAAAACAAGCCCATTTCTACATTTAAAATTTTCCAACTTAAAATAAATAGAAATCATGTAATCTTAGTAGTAAATATTTGGCTCATTGGATATTATAAATTTTTATAAATATAGTTTATTTACTATGCTCTGAATACAATGGAATCTCATTATATTGTATATAGAGTGAATTTGGGCATAAAACAAGTTCTTATGTCTCATATAGGAGATTTAGTTTCAGAATTACTAAAATGGCATTACAACTTTATTTATAAGAGTCCTGAAATATATACCATAGGAAAAGCACTTTAGTAAAATTTCAAAATGTTCTTTTTCTTATGGTGCACTTCTTTCATGTACTCCAGAACAATAAAAAATTGGGTGATCCTCAGGGCTGTTTTTATTACGTCTGCTCTTTTACAGGCTCATTTTATTGTGGTCATAATACAGCACCAGAAAGAACTCCTCAGGTAGCCATAGGAATCAGTTTTAACTAACATAAGTTTTTCCTGGCCTCTGTCAAAGGCTCTATTGGCCTAAATCAGTGTGTGATTTGTATTTCTTTCAGGGTTTTAAAGATACTATCTTCATATCTAAATATGAATAGCTGTGTAACTATTCAAATACATGGTTTTTGCCATTTTCAGCTATGGAGCACTACAGTTGAGATTTGTGGGTACTAGTTTTGCCACTCACATAACATTAAAGAAAACTATTGTGAACCATGTTTTGTGGCTTCTGTCCAGTGTCCCATTAGTAACTGCATAGCACGGAAAAATCAAATGCGCTGTTCTGAGCTGTTAGCTGCAGTACAGGCCCTCTTACAAGCTCTGTTGAACCAAACCAGTTCATTAAGGACCCCCGAAATATTACCAAATGCTTACATAATTGAGGCTAAAAAAATAATTTCCCTTAGTTAACCTAAATACATTTATTTCCATTATCAACTGTTGCTAGTACTTTTTTTGTTGTTGTTATAAAATCGTACTTTTTTTGTTGTTGTTATAAAATCATCCTGTCAGTGGGCTCTTTTCTTCTCATCACTTTGCTATTGTTCGTTTTACTACACAAAGATTATTTTTTTTCAGGGACAGAACAATGCAAGTTACTTGGGAAGACAACACATAATTTATAATTTTTTTAAAAATTCTGTAAATATTTTAAATTGTCCTAAAAATAACTGCGGTCAGATGTTCTAAATGTTGTTTAAAAATGTGCTTTTTGTTATGATTGTTTTTAATAAGTATTCAATATTTATGAATCTCTGGTTTTCCTCTAAATATTGACATTTGTTAGTCATTACCAGGAATACTGTATGTTTAAAAGTTGCCAAATAATAAACTATAAAAAATATCTGGAAGTTATTCCTCGGATTTATCCAAACTTTGGATTGGCCATTTAAATCTTAAAAAGCCTGTGGTGCACTTTGAAAATCTCTGAGGCTGATGGATCGTCTACAGGCAACATCTCCTGCTGATGAACCTCTTTTGCAGTTCTAAGTATATTTTATTGGTAATAACTCCACCAGTCTTTTATAGGAAAGGTAGTTAATTGTATCTGAAAGGGGCAAAGCCAATCTTAGTGTTTGCTAAAATTGCAGAATTTCTGCATATTGGCTTAATAAGTAGTTATTGAGTACTTTTTATGATTAAGAATATACAAAGATCACCAAGACAGCACTTGCCTTCAAGGAGTTCATACCTTGAATATATCTCTTTATATTATTTTTTGTATGTTTGTTTGTTTTCCCCTGCATAACTAAATAATGAAACCTTATTTTCCAGTTATTAGGTACAAAGGAGGGGCAGGTTGTGGGGGAAGATAGTGGCAAGGTGGTGAGTGTAAGTGACTCTATGAAAAATAAATGAAAACTAAAGGTTTTAAAAGAAGAAACCTTTGTTTTTTCCCTTTTTGTTTTCTGTCCTTTTTTGTTTTCAACCTTTTTCTTTTGGGAGAATAGTCATTTCAGGAAATCACGTATATAATGTAAATACCTTAAATGTAGCTATTAAAGGGGTAACAAGGAGAAATAATATTGGCAACAAAATTACCAGGGCATTTTATTCTTTTTCTTGAAGTCATATGCCTGTACATATTGGTTAACTGAGTTAAGACTGACCTACTTTAGAAGCTGGTAGCTCTGAAAGTTGCAGTGACTCAGGCCATTTAGATACTAAATAAACACAGGGAGATTTTCATCTCATTAACATATATTAACATAAACCTATTTCAAATGCTGATTTTAAATGTATGAAAACATCAAAAGATGTTATAATTTTATTTTTACTGAGTTAGATTCCTAACATTAAGAATGCTCTTGTTTTTATTATAGTAATGAAGCAAGGCCAGACTTTCAGATAAAGGTGGAACTATATAGTTGCTGTACAGAGGAGTCTTCTATAACCAACACACCAAAAAAATTAGCTAAGAAACTGAAGACATCTATAAGTAAAGCTACAGGAAAGAAAATAAATTCAGTGCTTCAAGAAGATCATGAAACGTGCTTGTCCTTCAGTTCTGCTGTTTTGTAAGTTTCTAATACAATATTTATAGTGACATAGTATGATTATATATTTGTGACATTTTAAAGTATTGCATGTGGAGTGTGTGTTTACGTTTTAAATGGAAAAAACATCCTGAAGCAGAAACAAAACTTGGTTGTCTGACATTTACACAGCTGAGGTAGCCTTAATACCTTACTTTGAAAGAAGTTGAGTGATTGTGTTTTTAGTGATTTGGAATTCTAGTATCTACCAGAAAGATGAAATGTTTTTCTTGAAAAGGGACTATCTATATGTCAAAGTATTTGCTACATATCAGCCTGCTAATTGGATATCTATATTTATGTCATGCTTTATTCTTACAGATTTTTAAAAATATTTTGTCTCTTTATAACAAAACCACATTACCATTTTCACTCCTAACAGAATAAAAAATAAGTCTTTAATATTATCTTATATCCAGTCTGTATTCAAATTGCTCCAATTCTGAAAAAGTCCTGTTGTGGTTTATTTGTGCAAATCAGGATCCAAACAAGGTCTACAGTGGTACATTTAAGTGAGTCTTTTAAGTTTCTTTTAATCTTTAAGAATTTCCCATCTACCTTTTTTTCCTCGCCATTAGTTATTGAAGAAACCATATCTTATAGAATTTCCCATATTTTTAAATTTAGCTAATTGCATCTTTGTGGTTTTTTTCAACATCTTTTTTTATACCCTGTATTTCCTACAACTGGTAGATTTAGAGGACTGATTAGATTAGATTCAGGTTCTTTTCTAGGGCAATAATATTTCATATTGATTATGTGTACTTCCTACTGTCTCCCATTAGGAGGTCTTGCCCCACTTTTAGTCATGTTATAATTGATCAGTGGGTTTATCAAGTTCCCTATCAATCTTTTATCTCGTGGTCTTAGCAGCCATTGCTGATCATTCACTATTTCATTATTTCATTTGGTAACTTCCTTAATTTGTTTCACCTGGAATTCTCTCAAAGAACTTTCCTTCATCAACTCTGGATATAAATGCAAAAAATTAATGAAAGAAAGGGAAAAAAATACTTGCTTTTCTTATTACTCCATTTTAGAATAATAAGTTGATGTCTTCTCAAGCATGGATGTGATCAACATTTTGTTTTATTTGAACTCTTGAATTTTTATGTATTTCTGTTTCAAGCTATTATATTTATTATTCTCCTTGAAGCCAAATAATCCCATCTTTGATCAGTAGGACACTTGGCAAGCTGACTCCTGCATCTTTTTGACGTACCATAATCTCTCACAGCTTCTTTGCTTTCTACACAAGATGTTCCACATTCGTCTTATACTTCTCTGCTCAGACTTGGAATTACCATTTTTTCAAGTAGCCCTGGTTTCTTTCAGATACTTACTTTAAACATTGTGTTTGTTGCTTCACAAATAGTTTTATGTTTACGTATCTTGAAAAAAACCTGTTGATCAGGCTACATTCCCTAGAATTTCTTTCCATGTCTTAGTCGAGTTAGCCCTTCAGCATACCAGTAATTTTACTATAATTACAAAAAGCAAAATATTTTAAGTATAGATCCTGGAAATATCAATCATCAGAATGTAATTAAATAATTTTTCATGTCATATATATTCCATGTGGAAAATGCCTTGGGACTCGAGCATTGTGGCTTTCAGTCTATTTTGCTGGGACCCATACAAAGAAATACATTTTAATTTTACATCATGACTGATTGCACAGCTACATAAGCAGGTTTCATGAAGCAATACGTAGCTCTTGCTATTTATAATATAGTTATCAGACTTTATATTCTAGTTATTTTCCATTAAAAAATCTGTTTATGAATTATTAAATTGATTTCATTACCCATGAACGGGTCCCATCCACTGGAAAAACAGTCACAGAATATATGTCTTCTCTAATATAAATGTCATTCAAAAGGAGAAAGGGGACTCTTTAATTTTCTTCCTCTAGAATTAAGGCCATCTTAAAACTTTTCTAGGTTAAGATTATGTCAAGTGTTTGCTAATGGGTGCTTTAATTCAACTATAAGATAGTGGAACTATTTCTTGTTGACGAATAAATGAACAATTACAAAACATAGATTTTAGAACTGAGACATTAGAGATAATCACCGAGTTCGGTAGTTTTAGAAGTTTTTTAAGCAGCAAAATTCCTTAGTTAGAAAAAAATGACAGGACAATAGCAATAGTGTTCTGGATAAGTTACATTATTCCCAGGGCCTCTGTTTTTCTCATATGAAAGGTAAGGATGCTTAGACATACTCACTTCTTTTAGAAGGATCCTTAGAGACACTTTTAAGGTTTCATATACCTTTAAAGCATATAAGAACAATGAATAGACCTCTCAAACAATTTTAAAACTTTATTGTTTGTCAGTGAATATTTAAATTTTTTTATCCTGTCATCTATTTGTGCAACCCAGGGCAGATTAATTTACTCTCTGGGTTTTGTTTTTCCCTCTGTAAAATGGAAATAATGGTAATGTAATCATATCTAACAATTTAGGATTATTATGACATTCAAAAAGATAATTCATGAACTTGGTATATTGTAAGCATTTAATAAATGTGGCTCTTACCATTATTGTTACTATTTTAATGTTCCAAGACCAGTGCTTTTTCTGAACATTTTTTTCTCAAACTCATGCTGAAGCATTGCAGTTTAGAAACTTGACATAGGATTATAAAATATAGGCAGATATTTAAAAATTTAAAGTCATTGTTATAGTTTCATAGAAGACGATCTAAGTGATGCTAGAACTTGTGTTTAACCTATATTCCTCTTGGAGGCCTAAAGGAATTTTTGAGACACATTATTGGTATTGAGCTCTTTTTACTAGGGATTGACATATTTGTCTCATTCTCCTGTTTAGATCTGCCATTCTACTTGGTTTATACCTGAATCCAAACCCTAATTTCCTTTATGAACAACATTTCTCGTGAAACTTGCATGCCATTTGCTTATTTATATAATACCATTAAACTTGGTCAGAAGAGAGAATAAAACCTTTTACAACATTTCACCAAATCATTTACTTCTAATACCGGCATACTATTGAGCTTCTGGTGTGAATCCAGAGTTCACGAGGTTAAACTCATGGCGCAGGAGCACTCTTACCTGATACTTCCTTAACTAAGCACTTCAGCACCACCATAGGAGTTTGAGAATAGCATTCTATTTTATTTTTTTAATTGTGATCTAGTTCAATAAGAAGATTCCTAATACAGCTTTTAATTTTTAGCCAAAAAGGGCATAAGAGATCAAATTTGGGCAAAATATACATGTATATCTTATCTAGTAATATGGCCTATGACAAAATATAGCTGTTCTTCCTGACAAAAGAGTACATTTTTCAGACTGCCATTTAAAGTAGTTATTTATTTTTTCATAACATTTTTGGACACCCCCCCACACACACACAGTGTTATAACAGTTGACCTATTTGATTTAAAAAATGTAGCTGATTAAACTTTTGGGAACTCAGTATTAGGGTTGGCCAAAAGGAATGAGTGTAATGTTTTAGTAAGAAAATGTTATCCTGACAAGAATGTTTTAAAAGTGAGATCATTGTTGGTTTTGGAAGTATTGCCATTGTAATTAGTCATGGTTTAAAAATGAAATAACTTGAAATATCATCATAAAGTATTGTTTGATCTGAAAGAAGACACTGAACATTTTTGGTCATTTTTAGCACGCTCCCTCATGTGATTCATTTATTCATTTAATTTGTGGAATTTAGCTTACTGAAATTCTTGTAGCTAGATTTTCCCAGTGCCTCCAATAGCTGAATTAACTATTTTCCGCTCCTTAAGAACTATTTAGTACATCATTCTTCATTGTGTAAATGTACATCATTTTAAACAATCATCTTGTGAAAACTGGTAAAATTGAGAGTGATTATCTACTTGACAAACAGGTGTATTATCTTTAAAAAAAAGCCACTATACTACATTTTAAATTAGATGGAAGTTACAAAGCAGCTATGCTAACACTTGTCCAGAATAAAATGGATTATTTATGTTCTGAGGAACAAGGGCAATAATGGTTTGGTGGTGTGAGAGATGATGCAGTGTTCAAACATAACTAAGGAATTCCTCAGCTACTGAGTATAATGTATTCATTCATTTAATGATCTTAGAAGTGATTATTCAGCAGTTATATCATGTGGTACATTGGATTCAAAGGTTAATAAGTCATGCTCCCTGCATTCAAAATTCCTGCGGTAGTAAAATATGGTCACTCTGTGTCTGTTTTAAAAGTACCTTAATTTAAAACTATTTCTTAATGAAGTATAAATGTAGGTAGTACAATGGGGTTCCCTTTTTAATACAGCACTTGCTAGAGGCAAGTTAGTGACAGTCTCTGAACTTGCGCTTCTTCATCTGAAAATATGAGCCATTACTTACCCCCAAGAAATAAATATGAATCAGATTTCATCACTGCCCTTCTAATTAACCTTCTCCAGTGACTTCCCGTTACACTTGGAATTAAATCCACGCTTCTTCCCAGGCTCAGAAAGTCTTAGGTGATCTAACCCCTGTCTGTATTTTCAACCTGATTTTGTGCCATGTTTCCCACTTGCTCTCTGTGCTCCAGCCACACTCATCTTCTTTCAGCCTCTTTGCGCGTGTTCTCTCTGCTTAGAATAAGTTTTCCTGCCTTCTTTGCTTGGCTCGCTCCTTTTATTAGTTCATAACTGTTACCTCTTCAGAGAGTCTTTTCCCAGTTCCCCTACCTAACATAGGCCCGCAGTTTTCTCATCCCCTTTGTTTCTTTCATAGAAAAAGTTGTGTTATAACTTTCAAATGCCAATATTTGATAAATTCCTCTGCTTATTCTTTTTTTTCTCCCCCCTGCATCAGACTATAATGCTGAGTCTTATTTACCGTGAATGCCCATCACCTTGCATAAGACTTGACACATATTAGGGTTCAGTTAATATTTTTGAATGGAGATCATTCAAAAGAAATATTTATAAGTTAAACCAAATAATTTTCATATTTTCTTAAGGTAAAATAGCATAAAGAGATAAACATGCCAAGTTGATTAATCATTTATGTAAACTATATACTCATAACATCTAAATGTAGTTTTTTATTCATTGTTTTATTGTGTTAAAGTATACATAACATTTACCATTTTAACCATTTTTAAATGTAGCTCAGTGGCATTAAGTACATGCACAGTGTTGTGCAACCATTACCACCATCCATCTCCAGAGCTTTTTTATCTTCCCAAGCTGCAACTCTATACCCATTAAACAATAGCACCCTGTTTCCCCCACTCCACCCAGCCCCTGGCAACCTCCACTGTACGTTCTGTCTCTATGAATTTGACTACTCTAGATACCCCATATAAATGGAGTCATACAGCATTTGTCATTTTGAAACTGGCTTATTTCATTTAGCATAATGTCTTTGTAGTACCACCATGTTGTAGCAAGTGTCAGAATTTTCTTCCTTTTTAAGGCTAAATAATACTCCATTGTATGTATATACCACCTTTGTTTATCCTTTCACCTTTGAATGGACGCTGGGACTTCTTCCACTATTTGGCTATTGTGAATAATGCTGCTATTGACATGGGTATACATATTGTATATCTACTTGAGTCCTCACTTTCAGTTCTTTTGGCTATAAACCCAGAAGTGTAATTGCTAAATTATATGTTAATGCTATTTCCAATTTTTTGAGGAACCACCACACTGTTTTCCATAGTAGTTACACCGTTTTATACTCCCATCAGCTTTGTACAAGGTTCCAGTTTTTCCACATCCCAGGCAGCATCTGTTATTTTCTGTTTTTCTTTGTTGATTTTTAATAATAGCCATCTAAAGGGTGTGAAGTGATAATCTCCTCGTTGTTTTGATTTGCATGAGTAGTGATTGTGAGCATCTTTCCATGTTTTTATTGGCCATTTGTATTTCTCTTTTAGAGAAATGTATTCAAGTCCTTTAGCCATTTTTTAATCAGGTTTTTTTGTTGCTGTTGAACATCTGAATATTTTATGTAATAGAAGATATACTGAAATACTTAAGCCATGTCTTCTTTCTCACTATTAGTGGTGCAAAGTATAATTTGCTAGCTCATACTACCTTGACCTTGGAAAGTGCTGAGGACAGTTTCAAGACACATAACCTGTCTATTAATGGAAATGGTAAGTACAGTCTATATTTTGCTTATTACATATATTACGTCGATATATGTGGCGACAGTAATAATTTCTAATTTTAACATGTTCCTCTGAAGTGGATATTGGCTTAAATAATGTAGGCATGAGTGATTCTGTAAGTTCTTTCAAATATTTCCATCCCTTTTCCCCACAAGTGAAAAGTTTGTTTTCCTCTCTCCATGCTGTTTGCCAGAGATTTGTGTGTGAGACTAGCTTCGTGAGAACAGAAAGGTTTTGTATATCCTGAATCCTTGTCTTTGACTTGAAATTGATGACTTCACCACCCTACTAATTGGCAATCAAAGACCTGTCTTATTTTTAAATTTAAAATTGAGAAAGTCAACTCTTCCTTTGTAGGAATCAGAGGATACGAGCTGATAGGGTTAAATCAATCTTAACCATTTTCTCTCTGGATGATATTGGTAGTTGTCATTTATGCAAAAGAAATATGTGGTTGGTAGTTGTAATTTGTCCAAAAGAAATATGTGGCAAGGTGAAGAAGGGAGTTAGGTATTACGAAGGTTTGTAAAACTTAGCATGAGCACTCTCCACTCTCCCAGATTATTTTACCTGTGATGAAGAATATAGAGTGGTGTTGGTAAAGTCGTTTGCAAATATGATTTGGGTTATTTATTCTTGTTTGTATTCTGAAGCAGAATATATACAATTATGAGTAGATTATACTTTACTAATATCTATTGTTGTAAAGGTGAGTGGCTCTGTACTGATGAAATGGACAATTTTACAACAGTATTTTTTGTTTCACACTAAAAATTGCATTAAAAATAGAGGAAAGTTCATAAATTGTAAGTGTATAGTTTAACAAATAAGTATGAGATAAATGTGTGTACCTCCATGTCACTAAATAGAACGTTGCCAACACTACTTCCCTTCAATTACCCTAGGTGTAAATATGTCCCAACTTTTATGGTATTCACTTCCTTGCATTTCTTTATGGTTTTACCATCTATGTGTGCTTCCCTAAATGTTGGGTAGTCAGGATGGTCATGATGTATTTTTCTATGTTTTTCAATGCAAAAATGCGTCATGACTTTTCCGATGATCCAATAATATAATTTATCTTTTCCTGGATTGAACTCTATGTAGATAGAATCCCATTATGGCTTCTTGGTGACTTGCTTTATGTTTATTTTTCAGTATATATTGCATTTCTTTGCTTGTAGTATTTTATTGTATTATTATTTTTCATTGCATAATTATAATTATCTCTTGTTCAGTTATTTTTATAGTAAGTTTTTGGGTTTTTCAGGTTTACCTTTTCTTGAATCAGGTTTAGTTAAGTTATATTTTTATAAATATGGATCTATTTAATCTAGAATTTGAGGATTATAAGCATTAACTTCTTCATGACTGCTTTATTGAATTTCTGCAGCATCTGTAGCAGTGTTCCTCCTTTCTATTCCTGATACTGACTTTTTGTACCTTCTGTTTTTTTATTGTCAGTCTTGCAGTACGTTTGTCAGTTTCTATTCATTGGTGTGTTCTATATATGCTAATTATTTGTTAGAAATAATGATTGTAGTTTAATTACAATTATAATAAAATCTATAGTTATATATTTTTCTAGTTCTCATAGTTATGTCTATGTTTGCTTTATATAACTTGAGCCTTTACTATTTGGTGCAGTTTTTTGGGTTTTTTTTTTTAAGATTTTATTGGGTACTGGGGGAGGGGAACAGCATTGGGGAATCAGGGAAGGGGAACAGACAAGTTGCTGTCCTTTTGTTCTTCAGTCTAGTTGTGGAGGATGTCGCTTCACTGGCCCATGTTGGTATTATCATTGCACTCTTCCCAGGTGAGGCAGATCAGTCGCCGGCCACTGGACGGCCGCTCACGGCGGCTATTGGCAGCTCATGCTGGCTGCCAGCCACTCACGGTAGCTTATGGCAGCCCACTGCAGCTTCACTGCAGCCTCTGCCATCGCCGGAGACTCACGGCAGCCCGGCTCCAGGTCGAGCTGTTGTTCACTATCTTAGCTGTAGAGGGCAGTGTCACTGGCCCTCATGTGGGATCCGAACCAGGGCCCTGCTGCTCAGAGCTGGCGTCCTAACCCAACTCTTAACCAACACGCCACTCAGCCAGTCCTGGTGCACACAGTTTTTAATTGTGCATTTCCTTCCACTCTTTTACCTCAAACTACTTATATTTATGTTGTAGATATGCTTCAAGCAGGATTATATATTGAATTTTAATTTTTATCCAATTTGACAATATTTGTGTGTGTTTTTTTTACTGGAGCATTTGGTCATTTTGAATTAAATAGCAAATAGTTTATAAACCACATTATATTAAATATTTTGGTTTAAATCTAGCATTATATCATGTATTTTCTATTTGTCTTACCTCTCCCATGGTGGTCCTTTGTTCTTTCTTGCCTTTTAAAGAATTGATGGTTTTATCACCTTAGTTTTTTCTTTTTCTAATTAAAGTTATAATTCTTCTTCTCATCTTTTATATATTACTCTAGAAATTTTATTAATTATACTTATTAAAAGCTAAAATTAAAAGATAATTTTACCTTTTCCTCAGACAATGCTAGAGCAGTTAGATACCATTTCTCTGACCTACGTGCTATTATTGTGTGTTATAATTCTATTTGATTTTTAAATTTCACAAGATGTTTTATGCATATAATATTTATTTAGATTTACCTACATGTTTCTATGCACCACTTGTATCTTAAAAACCTTACATCTGGGATCATTTTTTTGCTTAAAGTGTTATTTAGAGTTTCTTTTAGTGTATTCTGCTGGTATACTTCTTGGTTGTTTGTATTTGTTTGAAGATTACCTTATTTTGATTTTTGAAAGTATTTTTTGTATAATGTAGACGTTTGGCAGTTAAAATTATTTTTGAATATTAAAAATATAATTCCACTAGCTTCTGGCTTCTTTTACTAGCTGTTGAAAATCATTTGTCAGTGTGTCACTTCTGTGAAGCTAACTTTTTATCTTCTTTTTGACTTTGATTTTCTGAAGTTTCACTATATTATAGGTATAGAATTTAATTTTATTTATGCTGCTTTTGGAACTCCTTTAAATTGTTGATGGGTAGCTTTCATTAATTCTGGACAAAATGTCACTTGTCTATTAAGAAAGCCTCTGCTCCGTTTGCTTGCTTTTCTCCTCGCATTCCTGTTAAACATATCTTAGTCTTTCTCACTGTGTTGATTACTCTCCATGATGTGCTTTTCATCTTTTTGTCTGTCTTTGATACTTTTCTGGATTTTTACTGAACTGTCTTCCATTTCTTTTATTCTCTCTGCAGCTCTGTCTGACTTGCTGTTAAACTTATATACAAAATTCTTTATTTCAGTTATTGTATTTCTCAACTCTAGAAGTTTTATTTTACTTTTTCAAATCTGCTATTCCACTTTGTATTCCCTGCATACATTGTTAATACTATCTTTTAGGTTTTTATTAAAAGTGTAAGCATAGCTGTTTTATAATCTGTGACTAGATATATAAAGTCTTTCTAGGTTGGTTTCTGTTGATTTTTCTAGTGGTTCTCACTCATGATTTCTCAATTCCTTGCATATCTGGTTATCTTTTTGCACTTGTTATTGTAATTGAAAGTTTAAGTATAGGAATAAGTTGATGGTTAGTGTTTCTGTTTGCTTCTGGCAGGCACCTGGGGGTGCTATCAGTCTAGGCCCACTTTATCCAAAGACCATGTCTGGGTTTCTCTGGACCCCTCCTCCCCACCTCTAGGCAGTGGGAATTCTGGGTAGCAGGGTTGGTTTGCTGCTGGCTCACCACTACCCTGTTGGTGATTCCTTTGGGATATCAGCTTAGTTAGTATAACAAAAATATCCCATTAAACTGCTTACGTTGTTCAGGCCCTAGACTTTGATTTCATTCTGCTTCCCTCATCTTGCAGAATCATTAAATCATAAATTCATATTTGCTGGGATTAGCAAATGCTGTCAAGACAAACACAGCTTCTGTGCTCACTGGTTCTCATTTGTCCAGTTTGTATTGGTAATTTCTTATAGTCTTGTTACCTCTTTGTTGCTCTGGGGAAAAAAAAAATTAAAATTAAATATTGTTGACTCAGCATTTTCAGTGGGAGGATTGGTCTGAACAGTCTCGCCTTTCGTCACCCCATACTTGAAGTCTGCAATAGTATTAGCATTATCAATTTTATCAGAAAATTTGGTAAATGAAGTGTATTGTCATCCCACTTGTGTCAGTTCTGTAGAATCATACATTTTACTACCATATGTTGAGTGCCTCATATGTGTCAGACGCTATTCTATGAAATATTATTCAACCTTCAAAAAGAAGGAAATTCTACGATATGTGACAACATGAATGAACCTTGAGGACATTATGCTAACTGACATAGCCAGTCACAGAAGGACAAATACTGCATGATTCCACATCAATGAGGTGTCTAACATAGTAAAATTCATAGAAGCAGAGAGTAGAATGGTATTTCCCAGGGGCTGGAGGTAGGGGAAATGGGGAGTTGCTAATCAACAGGTGTCAAGTTTCAGTTATGAAGATGAACAAGTTCTAGAGATCTGCTGGACAACGTAGTGCCTTTTGTGAACTATGCTGTATTGTACACTTAAACATCTGTGAAGAGGATAAACCTCCTATTAACCTGTTCTTACCACAATAAAATAGAAATAAATAAATAAGCAAACAAGCACATTTAACGCAGTTTTTGTTCTTAGTCACTGTGAGATGTAGTTATAAGGAAACGTTACAGTGAAGTGGTTAATAGTGGGGCCACAGCCCTGGATTCATATTCTGGTTCTGCCACTGGCTGGCTCTGTACTTTCACAAGTTCCTCATTATCATTTACAGTCTACAGATGAGTAAGATACAGTTTAGAGGCTATCATATACCACAATAGATCATGCAGCTCACAAGTGGTTGAGCTAGACTTTAAATAATCCAGAACAGGCTGTGCTCTTTCTGTTATGGTTTCTGGTCAGGCATGGTTACTGTTAAAGCAACTGCAAGACTCAAAATACTATCAATGTGTGAATAATGGACTTGATAATAAAAGGCCCCATTCTTTCAACCAAATCATCTGAAAGGTTGTGGAAAGGAATACAGTTCACAAAGGGAGCATCAATTTTAGCAGTGATTCCTCAGTTGTCTTCAGAGTTCTTTAAGATATTACTAGATTCTCCTTGAATAAAATGCTTATGGGCAAATAAGCCTGGGAACTGTGATTACAGCTCTTTCTTATAGAAACACAATACAGATTAACATATTCAAGACTGAGAAGACCTATGCTTAAAGCAATAACACCCCAAAATTGTTGATTTTGGAATTTGTAAATTCCACTGGAAAATAATCTAAGAAACACTAACCTATATGCCTAACTCTTTTTATGTAATAGGTATATTCCTAGAAGTGTGTAAATTAAAAACTTGTAATTAAACCTTAAAAATGAAAAGTTTTATACAGAAAAACAAACCTAATTTTTTCATTAATATAAGTCTACATTAATGTAATGGATTTTTCCTAAATAAAGTTATGTTAATGTCGACCAAAAACTATAAAATCAAGAGGGAATACAAGGATTCTGAAATTTATAATTCAACTTTGTTACTCTTGCTAGTTGAAGGGAAAAGCCAAAATGATACGGTTTATATTTGTCATCAAGAAATTTTTATACATTTTATAAAACAATGAAACCACATTGTGAAGATTGACTCACACGGAACTGAGATGTTATCTGGATTCTTTCTCTTGCCTGTGTATTGTTTTTGTTGTTGCTGCCGTTTTTAAACTCCATTTTGTTCCCCATTTGAAACTACAGATGAATTAGATAATATCTTTAAGTAATGAAAAGTCAAACTGCTCTTTCACTTCCTGTTTCATTTCATTCATTTCATCTTGTCCTTATAACTCCCTTGGTTAGAAAAGAAGAATTGAGTATTTCGATTAAATGTGTTGACACAAGGACTGAGACAGCACTGAAAAATGGAAAGGGTATGGTTTGGGGAATAAGACTACCCTGGATATGAAATTATAAGAAGCATCTGTTATGTGCCAGACACAATGATAGATGTCATATACACATCTTATTTGATTTTTCACAACCCTCCTACTTAAGATAAGTAGTAGTATTTAAATGAGAAATTTATACTGAGATAAGTTAAGTAGCTAGCCTAGATGCCATATTTCTTGTTAGAAGTAGAGAGGAGCTAGACTACATTTTAATCCACAGTGCTCCTAATCTGTAAAGAAGCCTAGATTAGAAGTAACAGGTAATTGCACGGTATGTGGCAAGGAAGTCTACATCCAATATGCCTTTTCAAGGACTGCAATCAGGAAGGAGTAAAGTTTTCTTGGTGTGCCATGAAACCTAAGCATTTTATCAGAGAAGCACATTGTTACATGTGATATTTAGGTTCCAGTTCATACTGATTGAGCAAACTGTATGAACTGGTCTGAAACACTAATCATTTATGATTCTATGTTTTTAGGAAGTGCATCCTAATTTAAAAACAACTAGCTTACAGATATTTAGAACATAAGTTATTAATAAATCTGGGATTGCTGATAAAGAAATTTGCTTTCAAACTTTAAATTCACAAAGTTGATTTCAGATGTGTTACTCAGATGCATGCTTTTATAGAACGTTTATTTCCTTTCCTGCCTATTTTAGGAAAGAAGATTATGTATGCATGTATGTGTGTATGCATGTATGTGTGTATGTGTGCACATGTGTATGCACGTACATATGTGTGTGCATGTATGTATGTGTGTATGTGTGTTTGCACATATGCATGTATGTGTGTGTATGTGTGTATGCATGTATGCATGTATGTGTGTATGCATTTTGGAATCTTTGTATTGTATATATGCGTTTATTTCTCCCAGGTCAAACTATTTCTAAAAGATAGCATCTTTAACATGGTATTAATAAAAAAAGATTTGACTAGTCCCCGACAATGTGTTGTGTGCTATTCTATAATAGAGTGTTGAGCAGGTAACTTAATAAAAAACCGGTTTTGTTTTACTTTGTACTCTTCATTTTAGACTGGTCTTTTTCATTTAACAAATGTACTAAACCTTGGCTGTATTGCGTCTATATATTAAATAATTTTACTTTTACTAGAAATGTTTTATTTTCCAGAGTATTAAGACTTTTTTGGTCAATAATAGTAACAACCAATGGCTAGCCATTTTATAGACACTACCAACGGAAGTACAGTGAAAACTTTAAAATTCATTTTTGTGTGGTCCAGTGTGAACAAAGGGCCATATTTACACTCCTGATTCACAGAATAAATTATGCAGTGCCTTCCTTCCATATAGATATGAAGGCTATATACCTGTCTGCACACTATTACTATTGGAGTATCTTAATGTTTTTTGAAAAAACTTTTTAAAACAATTGCAAACTTATTGAAAAGTTTCAAGTTGAATGTCAAGATATTTTTTCCCCAAAATATATATGATAACAAGTTGCTTATATAATGCTCCATTACCCCCAAATACGATAATACGTATTTCCTACTAAGAAGACATCCGGCTACCTCACTACAACCATCCAAATCAGGAAATGAATAATAATACATCAGTACTGTCTAATTCTCAGGCTCCATTCAAGTGTAGCCCATTGTCCCACTAATGTTCCTTATGGCAAAAGGATCCAGTGCAGAATCAAGCATTGCCTGTAATGATCATGCTTCCTTAGTTTCTTTCAATCTAGACCAGCTCTTCAGTCTTTCCTTGGCTTTCACAACTTTGACATTTTTAAACATCATAGTTGTTTGGGTTTGTCTGATGTATTGTTGGGATAAGATTCTAGATATGCATCTACAGCGGAAATGTCACAGAAGTGATTCTGCGTTCTCATTGCATCCTATCAGGTGGCATATAATTTTGATTCGTCCCATTACTCATGATGTTCACTTTGATCACTTGATTATAGTGGTATCTGCCAAGCTTCTCTATTGTAAAGTTACTCTTTTGTTTTCCCTTTGTAATAAATACATGTTTTGTGTGTTGGGGGGGGTACATTGAAACAATGTAGGTATATTATTTCTTACTGGACTTTCAATGTATTCATTGATATATTTATATTAATATAGACTTACATTTTTCTATTTTATTCAATGCATCATAATCTATTAATATCATTGTTTATTTTGAGGTTCAAATTGTCTCTAATTTGGCCAGTGGGAGCGCAGTCAAGATGGCTTTTGTATTTTTTTTGACACGTCCTCGTCATTATTGAGTACTTCCTTGCTCTATGGCATAACAGTATATTGCATGTTCATCATGTACTTTCCCTGCCCCAGATCTGGAATCAGCTACTTCTCCCAGGAATGCTGGTTCTTTTTAATGGCAATAATATTAAGAAGACATGATCTGGGCTCTAGGTATATTCATTGCTGTTGGAGTATCACTGTTAGGGAATTGCTTTCCCTAAGTTCCCTCAGTAGACAGAGCTACACACATGTATGTATATTTTGTCATGTTAATCTCAATATGTTGAAAACCGTGAGTTTATACCAGTACATCGAGTTCTAATCCCACACCACAGAGAGTTCATTCTGCATATTTGTAATTCCTTTCTCTGACATTGAGAAACCTGTCTTCTGTTTTCTTTAATGTTTTTTCTTCTTTGATCAGTCTCCCTGAAAGCAACCATTCTCCCATCTCCCCCACAAGATGCTTTCTTCTCCTTGCTGGAGCTCTGACTCTTCATTCTGGGTGGGCCCTTGCCCCTTGTATACATTCCTCCTTCTGCTTAGGATTTAGCTCCCCAGGCCTGGCTGCCCTCCTCCTCCTCAGCCTACCTGTGCTCTGACTCCCCATTCCCAGCTGCCCCTCTGCTTGAATGTCCTTCCAGGGCGCTGACACACTGTTCTGGGTCATCGAAAGCGTGGATGGCTTCCTCACTGCTTTCAGAGTCTGACTCCCATGGCTGCGCTGTGCCACAAATGTGCATGCCGTCCTTCCTCAGCTTGGGCCTGCCTCCCCGGCCAGGCCATCCCCTGAGCACAGATCCCCTTTGGGCTCTAGGCTGTGCCCCCTGTGACCTGTCCTCAGCTCTCCTGAGACCTTGTGCCTAGCAGTTCTCCTACTAGCTCTCATCCTCTGGCTCCCAGCTGTGGAATTCCCCAGCTCCATCCCAAACCTCTGGCACAGATGCCCATCTCAGAGGGCTCCACCTAATGGCTTCTAACTGAATTGTTCAGGAAGGGAAGGGGAAGAGGAAAAGCCAAAAAGGTTTATTAAATTATTCTCTTCAAGTTGTGCTCTGAAATGTTTTATTCAGAGGATCACTTTTCTAATTATTATAATGAAAGTCAGAGCAAAAGTGGAATTCAGCATATAAAAATCACTTTATTAGAATGTTTTTTTTATATTAAATGAGTTTACTTTATATGCCCTGAACTGCCTCTATTGATTAATTACTTTAAGATCAAACAAGACCAAGAGACTAAAAGTTCCATGCCTTGTTCCAGCTGATAGCATGCTATAAACTGTCAGTTTAATATCATCTCTGATTTGATTTTAAATATGGTGCTGGTATTTGAGTAGGATGAACCTTTACATATGTTCTTATCAAAAGCAAAAAAAAAAAATTTTGTAAAAAGAAAATCCAAACTGTATAATGACTTTAAATAAACATATATTTGTAACTTGATTTTTTTTCTCTCTTGTTTAAATAGAGGAGTCTTCATTTTGGCTTCCCTTATATGGCAACATGTGCTGCCGATTAGTCGCCCAGCCGGCTTGTATGGCTGAGGATGCATTTGCAGGATTTCTTAATCAGCAGGTTAGAGGACTCGAAATATCCTACAATAAGTATAGCCCCAATGTAGATCTTACCCCTTCTGATGCTGAGATTTATTTTTTAAAGTCTCCTTTTAAATCACGGTTTTCTCAGTGTTAGATGTAGACTTGGAGGTGGTGGGGGAGACCTGGGGATGAGAAGGTGGGAAGGGGAGGGGTCCGATGCCCTTTGGATGGCGAAGGAGCTACCTCTCCAGGTGCCTCTGCTTCATTAATACCAGTAACAAGATAATCAGCAACAGAGGAGTCCTTGTGGACACTGATGAGGACCACTCAGCACCTTTCACATAAAGGCCTTTCTGGCGGACAGCTTTTGGCACAGTTTAGGCCTCTGGGCTTCCAAAGCTGTCTCCGTGCCACCTCCTACTGATTTATTTATAGCCGTAGTTATTTATATGCAGTAAATAATTAATTATGGGCTCCAATGAATCAATAGCTTTTTCTAAAAGAATCCGCTAAGAGGAAAGAAAATTTGCATTCTTCCGGGTAGCCAACATTTTCCGATGTTCTAAGAACAGTAAGGGAAAAATTGTATTTTGAATGAGTTATTTTTATAATTTTTCCGAGCCCTTAGATGAATTGCTGCGGAATTCTAAGCACTCATTTTTAATAGACTAGCTTCTCAAAAACTGCATTGATTTATGATTTTATGTGTGTAAAAGTTATGTGGTAATCATTACCTCCATTTTGCTTATTTAATCCTTTGGAGAATTCCAAACCTTTCTTCTCTAAATTAACTTAGTCTTTCTTTGATTTTGGGCTATTGACTTATTACACAGTAAATTAATGGGTAACTCTATCACATTTAAAAATTTCAAACAGCTAATTTAACTTTGATAATTTAGTTTTTTATTGAGTTTGGAGTTATGATGGTAAATAATGATTTAAGATTGATAGTTTCTTGATTTTTTTTTTCCAGCAAGTGGTAGAAGGTCTGATTAGTTGGAGAAGGTTGTATTGTGTTCTGAGAGGGGGTAAACTCTACTGTTTTTATACTCCAGAAGAAATTGAAGCTAAAGTGGAACCGGCTTTGATAGTGTCCATTAACAAGGTAAATAAGATGATATTTTGAAAATAAAGATATAACATTTTATGAAGTTTGTTCCTTTTTATACAATTTGCATTGTTGCTATCTTATAAAGAAAAGGGAAGTACTGCTAAAAATAGGTAGTTCATAAAGATAACTAATCTTATTTTTCTTTCCATTATAGAGCTTATCTGGTAAAGGAAATACTATATATTTCCTAAGAAAACAAAGTAATTGGAAATCTAGACCAGTAAATAGTTTTTAAAGCAGAGGCTGTAACTCCATAACAGGATATTAAAATTTTTCATCAATTTATGTAATTAAGAGATTATATAAACATAAATTGTTAGCTCATGTTATAGTGATATTTTTTCTGGTTAATATTCAAATGAACCTATAAAAAGACATTCCTGAGTATACTTTCTGATTTCTTATAGGATTGATGGGCAATTGTCCAACCTTCTGTCAGAACAGGAAAGCCTGACACTCCATTTAGAGTACTTGATTACTTATACTGCATTTTAAAAGTAGTGCTACACCACCTAGAGAATCTATTAAACACACACACACACACACACACACACACACACACACACACACACAAAGGAGATTATTAAAATTTAGTTACATATTTTTCACCCACAAATCTGTAGCAAAACTTATCACCATAAGCCAGACTTTCTTTTATCCCAGGATCTTAAATTTGTCTTCATCTATCATCCAAGTCTAGTGTTTATTAGAGGGTTTTTCCCCCTCTTTTTATAACTCAAGAATACTTTAATGGCCTTTCTAGAGCAGAATATTATGTTTTCTGCCTATGGACTACACTTATAATTGTTTCTAGTGTTTTAATTTGCTTGCCTTTGGTGTGGTTGAATTAAAGTATCTGACAAAATATGAGCCATCACATCTGTGAACTCTGCATGTTCTACTTGTGTTTAAATTTTCTTTTGAAGAAAAATGTAATACCCTGAAAAACATGTAGAAACTGGTCTGCTAATCTATAAGGACTTAAGTTAGTTTCTATGATCTTTTCTACTAATAACATTTGGCCTGTTTCTATCCTGCTTTTAGAAATTACACTGCTTTTTACTTAAAGGAAATCCTTCAGTGAGACCTATATTATATAAATAAGTTCACCGTATTTATCTGTTTTGTGTATTAGAAAGATTAGTGTTGCTCTTGAATAATAAGCCTCAATATTACCACATAGTGAATTTATTTTGGTTTAGGAAATCAGGTTTATGAAAGTACAATTTTATTGGAAAATTGATACAATTTTTTTATTATTTGCCAACTTTTCATTTTATTAATTCAGCATTCACTTTTTACCACCTTAGTCTTTTTCAAATTTCAAATGTACAGAAAAGTTGAAAGAATAGAATAATGAACACCTGTGTACCCTTCGCTTAGATTCCTTAGCTCTTGCTAACATTTTGCCACATTTGCTTTCTTTCTAGTTTAAAATTGTTTTCTAAACCATTTGAATGTAAGTAACAAAAAGCATAACATTTCTTCCCTAGAATATTTCAGCATATTTCTCCTAAAAACAAGGACATTTCCTTCATAACCATAATATTGTTAGCACACTCAAGAAATTTGTTGATTAAAATAATATCTCATATACAGGGCAAATTGCCCCAATTGTTCCCAAAATGTTCTTTCTAATTTTCATTTATTGTTTGATCCAAGGCCCAGTCAAGGATCACAAATTGCACCTGGTCACCATGTCGTTTGTTTGTTTCCTTTTCATCTAAATTGTGCCCTTCACTTAAGGGAAGGGTCTTTCATTACATTGAAATTTTTTTGAAAAGTCCAGGCCAGTCCTCAAATTGTATTTGACTATTTTACTAGATTCAGGTTAAATATTTTTGGCAAGAGTTCTACACAAATGATTTTGTCTAACCTGTTTTTTACTAAGGTAGGTAGTAAAAATGGAATCCTACCAATATTTTTCTTACACATTGTACAATGGAATATGGATAATCATACACCAAATAAAATGCAATCTAAACAAATTATATTTTTAAAATCATTTGTTTTATTTGAAAACAGTCTTCAAGGTATTCATTTTACTTTATCTCAGCCCTTTAAGGTAGTCAGAACAGGTAAGTCTGCCCTGTTTTACAGGTATATTATTTCTGTTTTACAAGTGATGAAATAGACTCAGAGATGAGATAGAACTTGCCTAGCTAGTAAGGAAAATTATATGGCTTACTCTTTTCTTAATGGGTAGGAAAAAAGTAGATAATAATTCGTGGACTGTTTTTCTATTTCCTCATAAACATACTGCTAGACTAGATTTGGAAAGCAAATTAGACTTTCCTGTCTTCATTCCTGCTCTGATTCAGTTTTGGAAGTAAACACTAGCTCTGAAATGAGGTTCTGAGCCTGAAGTCACAATCTACCCATGGCTTAGGCATGTGTTGAATCTTTACCATTTATATTTTAGGGGATAGCTATAAGGAAACTACTGTTATTATAGGCAGTGCATCTTTATTTTCTTGTCTGATGATAAGGGTCTAATTCCCTAAAAGTGGTTAACAGTGTTTACATGGCCTGCTTAAATTAACCTTTTTTCAGTTGACTCATTTTTCCTAGTAATAAAAGGCTGATGACCTCGCAATTGATAGGATTCTGGAGTCAATCAACACCATTATTCAGATGACTGAAATCAGCATACTTAGAAATCCCAGTGGTAGTTCAACAATTGACCATTACAAATTCCCAGGAAAATGATGAATCTAGTAATTTGTAGAAACTCAGTCTTATACTTGGGAACAGTGTGGCTATATTTGACCCTAAAGACTGATGACAAATCTCTCTTCCATTGTTCATGACTTTTGTCTAAAGTACAAAAGAGAATTTAAACTATGAGGTAAGAATTAAGGTTGGAAAGATTAATTTAGTTGTTAATCTGGAAGATTAAACTGATGGGAAGTCTTCTATTCTCTAGCTTTACAGTATTGTCATCTTAGTTTTCTCTTGATTCATGCCCTTTCTCTGTAGAAACTTTTCTCTTTGCAATTCCTACTTCTACCTCAGGTTTCCTTTGAACTTTTCTATTTATGAAATTTTGCTCTTAACAGTGAATGCCATTGGCCTCCTTATTTAAATATGTCAAATATCATCTCAGACAAGAAATCTATTAACTTCTGAAAGCACATTTGTTACATAATTATATCTCCTATTAAAGTAATTTTTACTTATTTTTTAAACTTATAAAATTATTCAAATTGACAGAAAAGTTGAAAAAAATACTATTGCAATCGCTTATATACCATCTAGATTCAACAGTTAACATTTTGTCATATTTGCTTTATCTTTTTTTTCTTTTTTTTTTGTAATGTGGGGCTAAACACCTTATATTTTATTTCATTTTTAATCAGCTTTATTGTGGCCTAGTTGACTTAAATAAAATTCCCCAGTTTTAAGTGTACATTCTGATAATTTTGACAAATATACAGTTATGTAATCATTACTATAATCATCAGATTACAGTATTTTTTTGTTTTTACTTTTTTGTGAGAACATTTAAGTTCTCAGCAAATTTCAGTTATACAATAATAGAGTGTTGTCAACTATAGTCACCATGTTTTACATTCGATCCTTAGACCTCATTTATCTTATCTCTAAAAACTTATAAAGCCTCTACTTATCCATATTTTTGCTCACCTATTTGAAAAAGTATATATATACAAACACATATGTATATACATATTTACAATATCATTATCACAGCTAGTCAAATTAATTTTCTTATATCATCTAATATCCAGTTAATATTCAATCTCATTGTCCCCAAAATGTCCTTTTAACTTTTGCTTTCGATCTAGGAATATTTAAGTATTGTGAATCCTTTGTTCTTCTAAACTGTTAATTAGGTCTAGAGACTTCATTAGATTCTTTTAAAACATTTTTTTATAAGAATATTTCATAGTTGATGACAAACACTTTATAGAGCACCCTGTTCAGAGGCACATGTCATCAGGTTATCTTACTATTGGCAGTACCTAGTTTAAAGATTCTGTTATGGTGGCAACCACCAGTATATAGGTAAGCTTTCTGGTATATAGGTAAGCTTTCCTCTTTACAGTTAGCAAATAGTCTAGGAGGTATAATGGTTTGTGATTGCCCTTGCCTGAATCAGTTATTACCTTGGAGATTGCATACATTTTTCTCATGCTATCCTTTCTTGTACATATATTAGCTGGCATTCTTTTGTATTTTTTTTTTTGAGGACTTTTTATCAACTAAGAATGAACTACTACAGTTCCTCCTGAAAAGGCAGGATAAATGCTTACTGTTTTAATTGCCAATTGGTATTGAATATTGGTATTGATATTTGCAATATGTATTAGAATGGTATTAACCCTTCCAGAAGTAACAAATTACTGTCATGTCTCACCACCCCACAAATATTATGATAAACTTACAGATTTGTATCTATTGAATGTTTTAAATTACGTGGTTTTTAAATATGAGATAGATGTTTTAATTGCTTTGCTTACTTTGGAAATTTTCAAGGGACACATGTTATTAGTGTATTCTTAAATAAACAGAAGCTTTGATAAATGCCAAGTTGGTATTTTCTGATCTGTAGAGCAGGTAAACACCAAATAAAACTTTTAAGAATAGTGCTTTGTTTCAGTTTTTAGTATACTTCCAATGGTGGGTGTCTAAGATCTTTTTATGCTTAATAATGTTAAATATTAAATACAGATCAGAGCGCCTTTATTTTGGTTGCCTTCTCTTATGATTTAGAAAATAATAATTTTGCTTAATGCTACTTTAAAAATTATGTGAAAACATACATTTTGCTGTTGCTAAGGAATATAAATAATAGCTGTGTTATTTTGATCACAGAATCTGTTCTCTATAATTCTTGTCCTTCTAAATGGCACTTCCTGTACGGCTTAGTCAGTTCATTAATTTTCATAGGGAGCCATCTGTGGAAATAGTCACATTAAGGGAAGAAAAGCCTAAAAGCTATTCCCTTCTTCTTTTCAATCCAAATTTGAAAG